CTTACAGATCTCCATTTTAATATTTTAATAGATTGAGTAAATAGTTTCAATTTGATTTAGCACATCCTTGAAACTAAATTTGAAAAATTCCTAATGCCTGAAAGAAACATTCAAAAATCCCGAAATTATTGAACTGTCATTTTATAAGAATGTTTTGATACGAAGCCATATACAGCTGTATATGATGTATATGGTAGCTGTATACACCAGTATATGGTAGCTGTATACACCAGTATATGGTACGAAAAGATATAATGCTAATTAAACTGTGCCTCATATAAAAGGCAAAGAAAGAAGACGATTGCCATTTTAATGACTGAAAACGAATATGAAAATGACAAATCGTTGTTTATTGGCATAGCCGAATGATATTATTGAAACTCCTGGGTCTTTTAGAGCAGGAAGGTTTTTCACCATGCTCTTACTGCATTAGAATTACGAATCTTGCACTTAGATGATTTAGATAGACGAGCTAACAACTAAAATCATGAGAGCATGCGCAGGAGAGGGCTGCAACTCCTTAGATTCTCCTCCACCTCAGGGGCAAGAGAGGAGAAACACAGGACCTACTATACCATATTAAGAGGGTGATTAGCTATTATTTCACTACATTGTAGTTTGGATGCCATTGTAGAGATAGCTACAATGTGCAGAAATAAAAAAAACATTGCTGTGTCCTCATAAAGATTTAAATTAACATAAATTTTATTTGTTAGCTGCATGTGCTATACTCCAAGAGCATGCATGGAAGAATAAAATAATTGTTTACAACTTAATGATACGCTTGTTTACAACATAATAATTAATTAAAGCATACGAGTTATTTATTTGAACTTCTAGCTAATTGTTTAGCAAGGAGACTTAGTTAATAGTAATCTGGAATAGGCAAAGAGGCTCTGAAGAAATGTATTATTCGGTATGCGCACATAATATTATCATTGCATAATTAACAAAGTATCATGAATAATTCTTCTAAATAATTTAATAAATTTCTTGGCAAGTCTTCTTTACTTTTATATGCACGTACATAAAAAGTACATCATTATTAGGAAATCATAAGTTTCTACCTTCCTCTCCCCAACTGAAAATAAATAGTATAAATAGTTATTACACTTTGTTTCATTTTAAAATTCTTAATAATTTTCATTACAAAATAAGTGGTAATTTTTCTTTATGTATTAATTTCAACGCTAATAACATTCTTTTTGAGCGCTGCAACTGCATACCCCTTTCCTTTTACCAATAAAAAATCATCATGTAAAAGATAAAAGCTAAAGATTATTATTACATGTGAATTGCACAGTTTGCCTTCTATACACACAACTTTAGATAAAAGACAAGTGATCGTAAAGTATTAAGCACAGCGGATACGAATATATGTATACATATATACACATACACACACATATATATGTATAAGTTAAATCTAGCTCTAAAATAAAGGCAAAAATTTTGATTTAGCTCCTACAAAATTTAATTTTAAAAAAAAATTGCTCTCTTTCGTATTTATATTCCGTTTAACTCGAAAAACTATAAACAATATAAGATAAGCTAATTTGTTTAAGGATTAATTATCGAAACTTCAAGATACAAAATATATTTAAAACGAGTTGTTTAAAATAATATATCAAATATATACAAATTAGTCATTGTTCCATCATAAATTAACGACACACTTACATTATTTGCACTTAGTTAATAATGAAAAGATTTAATTATGCAAGATAAAACTAGGCACATTTTTCACTAGATCCTAAACCAAGACTTACTATGAATGTTTCCCACAAATGAAGGAGCAACATTTTGTATTTTGCCGAGACAGAAAATTCGCGTAGTGGAAACTTCAAGAAAGTTTGAGATCGGTTGTTTAGGAAATGTATTAATTCTGAGCTTGGTCTCATTTAAATAATTTTAAAAAGTACTGTTATAATTTGAAATGCAATTAACGATTCTATACTTCACAATTTGGCAACATGCTGTTATTAATAGTTCTTAATTAATATTGCTATTATTAATGTTTTTCCACGTTCTCTCCGTGTGTAATAAATCTTTGTTATACACTAAAATTTTAAAACTAATGTTTTTTTATGATTATCCACACATCTGTTCTAAAACGTATTTGCAGCTCACCAACGGCTGAGCGGTAAAGTCCCTGAACACTGGTAGTTCGGTCCAAGGTTCGAATCCTGCGAACGGGCTGGCTGCATGGGTGTTTTCGTGATTTTCTCCATGTGTAACGTGTATACGAGCCAGTTTTCCTTAGAAAGACCTCCACGAAGTTATCCCTCCCCTTAGGCAGATAGCCCTAGTGTACTAATTAAATAAACCAAACCAAACCAAAACGTATTCACGAGAAAACGCAAGTTATGTGGCATCCCAGGCAGCTTTATACATTCGACGACGGTCATTTTTCTGGAGTTTGTTTCTACATTGAATTTATTTTTTCGCTTTGTAACGATTCCTAATTTGGAGTTTGCCAGTTGATAAAGAGGAAAGCGTTGCATAGCTTCATAAATAGGGCATTTTGCCAAACTATACGTAAAACAAGAATCCCGCTAACTCCTTAATCGAATTTTATGGAAATGCAGTGTGAAAAATCGCCAAGCAAAGCGTTATGATGCGGGATGCCAAATTTGTGTAACTCTCTGTTGATTTTTAAGCGAAAACAGATTAATTTAACGTAAAATTAATCGCCAACGAACTGGCGACTTTTCGAGAGGGGGGTGCGAATAATCAGAAAGTACCAGATTATTTAGCAAAGCATTTCTAATGCTATAAACATTCCTAGAAAGTGAATTTATTTGAGCTCTTGTTTCATTAAACACTGTAACCATTTTAAACTATGCAAGAAGAATAAATTCCCAATTGCAGGGCAAGACTATCTGGGGTTGTAGATAAGGGTTTTTCTGGGGCTTTCTTATCGATGCAGAGAGCTTGATTTTACAAGGATGTTTTTCGTTGTTTGTTGTTTTTGTTTTTTATTTAGTTGGCTGCGGCAAAGCAACGAAGGCTGTCTAGATAAACTGACAATGCTTTAGTGGAGTATGAGGAAAACTGGCACATTACATAAAAACACTCATGCATCTAATCGTTTCTCCCCGGAATACGAGCTTCGCTTTCTTGAGAATAAAGGAGGATAATGGGAAAATAAAGAAAGTTTTGGGGGCTATAAATCCTGACATTGTTTCTTTAAAAGGTAATCACATCTGGTCACCATCAGCTTTTAATTAAAGGTATAAAAGTTTGGGATGCTGTAAGGCAAAATATCACAAGAAGTTCATCTTCTTTTCGCATTTACTGCAGTAAAGCAAATCTTCTGAATTTCAAATACAGTATAATTTTAGTTAGAACTTTTATTTGTAAAAATTTATTACTAAATTAAACTTAATTACAACAATTAAACCTACTTGATAACAGAAGTTCATAAAATTTAATTAAACGTATCCAGGCTTCAAAGGATACGCTTTACTGTATCACTCTTTCCCTGCAATCTCTCTGCACTATGACATCTTTCACTCAGCTCAACTTTCGCGGCTCAGGAGCAACATAAAGAATTTCCGGCTATAAATAACGACCGAAGCTAGTACTTATTGTCCTTTTCTCGTCTACTGCTGCTTGCTACGTCTCGAGCTTAGTCTTCTTTCCTCATTTTCTAAAATGTAAACTAAGTATGTCGAAGTTATGGAGTGCGCTTAGCACCCCTAGTGTTGTACCAGTATTAAGCAAAAATATATTGAAAAATGAAAATTTTCTCTGAAATTTGCTCCTGTGAAAAACCACCCATCATCTAAGCAACAGTCTCCTAGGCAAGACCAAGAAGTAAATTATTTTTCATCTTCCGCAAAAACTACACACGCACACACACACACACACAACACACACACACAACACACACACAACACACACACAACACACACACACAACACACACACACACACAACACACACACAACACACACACACACAACACACACACACACAACACACACACAACACACACACACACACAACACACACACACACACACACATATATATATAGTATAATATTTGCGTGTGGGGGGCTCTCGCTTTTGGTACAGCCTGTTGCGATAAAAAAGATATGAGCGCACCTAAATGGTATAATAGTCAAATATGCAAAATTTCAACGTTCTGCAGTTAACGGTTTTTGAGTGATACGTGCGGATGTCCGAAGAAATCCATTTTTAATCCATTTTACAATGAGTTTTGCAATAAAGAATCCTTTTTCTGTCCGTACGTACAGACGTCACGCAAACATATAGTCAAAATGGACATTACAATTGAAATCTAAAAACCGAAATTTTTCGCGATTACAATACTTTCTTTATTTAGTACGAGAAAGTAATTAAAAACAACAAAGATATTTTCTTACGGTTTAAGCCTGTATTTTGCTCTTTTAATAGTTAATAATACATTCAATTTATAAATTAAAATGAAGTTTATAATATAGTTAAGACGCATTTAATTTAGGTGAATTCTTTATAGCATCTTAGTAATTAATATAAAAACTGCGAAATGAATATTTTAATATCATGAAAAACTAATAAAAATAAAATCCTCCTGACATATTGTATAGTTTTTAAGCTGTAAAACTGCTTAAATTGTAACATATTTTTAGAAGTTCACTCAGTAATCGAGGAATTAAGCGTTTCAGTTTTCATAAGCAATATTAAAAATTCATCTAAATATGTTTTAGGGCAAATGTATATATATATTTATATTGTACACATTTTATTCTTAAAATATGTATTTCAGAACTAACTTAAGTAAAACAAGAATTTAAAAGTAAACTAATAAACTTAAATAAAAAAATAAAAATAAAAAATAAAATAACTTAAAATAAAAAAGGGCATAAAGAGTGAATCAATATCTCTCAATAAAGTAGGAGTAGCTAAGTTCTAAAAATCTTTTTGAAATATAAATATGGCGGCAGATCACATCTAGCGCAAAACACAAGCTAGGATAAAGTTGTTTTACTTACTTAGCATCTACTTCACATGTCATTGTTAATGGTCTTCAAAAAATCTTCCAAAGATATAAGAGGTTCACGAATTTTATTATATGCACTTTCAAAAATATTCTTAAAATTGTAATCATTCTAAATTAAGACAACTTGCATCTTTGTAATTCAGTCTCAAACTTTATACACGATTTCTGATTTTACTTTAAAATAATATTGTCATTTAAAGAGAAAAATTCTTGAATAATGGCGAAATAATGACACTTCAGATGTGCAAAGAACGTTCAAAAAATGTCTTCAAAATTACATGCACAAGTTTATTATTCGAATGCGCAGACGATATTCTAGCTTTTTTTTTTTTTTTTTTTTTTTTTTTTTTTTTTTTTTCTTTTTTTTTATCAGCAGATGCTCTCGTGATTCTAACATACTGCCAGATTCTTTCCTTTTAAAATAGTTTGAATTTAAATGAACACCATTCTTCAAAATATATTTAACTTATAAATACTACAACTTTAAATCCAAATATTTCATACATTTAAAGGTCGAAATTTTAAAGATTTTAATAAAAATATGTATTTATGCAATGTTTTAGTGAAGTACAATAAATTTTAATTTGAGATCGTCTGCATTTACAAATATGCACAATGTGGCATCATATTATATTGATATATCTGTAATCGCTGATAAAGCAAACATTTAATTCTACATGTGGAATGATGAAATACTGCTCTCGTTTTGCACTACGTTTTGATTAGTCTGTTTACCAAGGAGGGAAAATAAGCTTTTTTTTTAAGACGTTAGATTATTTATTGCTTGGTCTCACTTTAGGAATATTTTAGGTCTGGCAAAATGGAAATTGCTGCCTATTAGTTGCAGTCCTTATATAGTACCATCACTACAAAGTACTACTACCACCACCACTCTTAAACAAAGCTCAAATCGCATAAATTTACGAGTGTTAGAGAAAAAAAAAAACTCAATCAGGATGTTGTGGTTTTAATTTTTGAATTTAATAGTTAAAAACACTTTGCTTCTTTGTGTACCACCTACTTTTTTCTTGCGTACCACCGTGTGAGAACCCCTGTTGTAATCTATTAAAATACATGACTCTCTGCCTGAATCTTGATCTTTCAGGAATTATAAGTAGCTTTTAAACTATTATTATGCCTGTTGAAACTACTGTTACAAGTCTTAATCCGAGTTTAACACTTAAAACAGTTTTAAATTAAATCAGATTTAAAAATTTTTAACACCTCGAAGAGGTTTTATTGTTTTCAATTCGCTATAAAATCTTCTTCATAAAATTCATTTTTGCAGATCGTCGTCTTATAAGATCTTTCATTTATCATCAACAGTATAAAGTGCGTTGCTCAAGTTAGCGTATGTTATGCATTTAAAAATTAATTTTATAAATAATGTTATTAATTAGTAATATTAATCAGTAATTTTTTCTGAAATTCTTTACAATCGATATTTTGCAAACAATTTCTACTATGAATGTCATAAACAAAATAGGTGTATGACAGCCTAATAGGTCACTGCAAAATTTTAAACTTATCTTTTTGTATAAATTAGCGTCTACATCTGAAATAACATTTAACTTTTGTGATGAAATTCTGCTGTAGCATAAAACTTTCATGACTCTGCGTGTATTGCGTTTTTCAGTTTGTTGCTTTGGAGTCCACATTTTGTGGAAGAATCCACAGCCTCAAAAATGTTGGACTTCTTTCCACAGCAATTTTGAGGAAAATATCCCCTTGGGGGGCTGAAGGTCTTCCATCCTCTCTCCTACTACCGAACCACATGAGAAGACTTTCGAGTCTCCATATTTTTGGGGTGCAACCAAGACCCAAAGACAGTATGCATTTACAAATGTACACTGCTCAAAAAAAAAAAAGAAAAAAAAAAAAAAAGAAAAAAAAGAAAAAAAAAAAAAAAAAAGAAAGGTGGTGACAGTTTTATATCTCCGTTCTACCTGGGCCGATTCACGAAATTCAAATTGCGTTATTCATGTCGAAAGCGCGACTTAGGATATATTAGATTTATATATAACACTATTCTACAGGTATTTTGACAGAAATCGGACTTTTTCTGAAATAACATACCATTTTTTTAAATTTCGATTCTACGAACTCAAATTATGCCTAGATCTAAATTTGTAAAATTTGGTGCGAAATTTACGGAGAAATTCAACAGTTTATGTTAGCGCTTTCTTTTCAGTTTACGCCAAGAAAGTTACTGGCGAATTTTAAATATGACAACCTATTTCCTTTCGGGGAGAACGTGAGGGGGAGAAAAAGTCACCATCCTTCCTTTTTTCAGATAGGACCTTTATATTATATTTTAATTATAATTGTTTTTTTAAGCATTTTTCTCTTGAAGTCATTTAATTGTTAGGCATTGGTTCTTTCGAATAACTGTTTAAAAGTTTCGATTTACTATTCGACCTGGTGGTTTAATAAAAGGTGCTCGTAATTTTTTCTCAAATAGTTTCTTTATACAATATTTTAGTATAGTACTATTTAGGTAATTTTAAATTTTTAGACTTTATTCAATGTTAGTGTTCATCCTTTCAGATAATTTTTAAAATTTTCTATTATTCATCGAATAGCATGTAAAAATTATTATATAAATTTTCCAGAATTTGATTTATTTATTGAATTGCGTTTTTTCGGAAGAATACTTGTAACCCAGACTACGATGCATTGACAACTGCATATATTAAAAGAAAAATACAGTAACCACAGTTCACACGCTTTTCAAGTTCGTTCAGAAAAGATATAAATAAGAGGCTGTAGTATCGACATTTTAATTAAGATGACTGTAACATGCTTAACATTATCATGTGCCATTGCTTACACAATTTATCCTACATTTGGTTTTAAATGTTATTCATATTTATTCAATATTTTATTTCTGAAATCGCAAGAATCAATATCATAAGATAAAAAAAAAAAAAAAATACAAACACTAAATACGCAAAATATTTTTTCTCAGGCATTCGCAAGTATATTAAAAGCATCAACTTTCGAAAACATCTGGTTATTTCTGACAATCAATTTAGATAAAGTTATCAGACCACAAAGGCCGAGCGTAAAGTAGGAACATGGTAGTTCACTCCGGGGTCGAATCCCTTAAACGAGTGGTGCATGGGGTTTTTGTGGATTTTTCAGTGTACGTGTATGCAGAGGTTTCCTTATAAGTTCTCAGAAGCATCCTTGCTTTTCAGCTGACTGCTTTGCCGACCTTCGTACCATCCAATCCATTTAACAGTATGGTAGAGCTTCTCATCTTTAGGGCTAAGCATTTTGAGTTATGAGATGAAAGGAAAGATGGTTCATCAAGAGATTTGCTTATATATTATGTGTGTATGTTGGACATGTAAGCTCGGGGTATCTGCTAAGGAAGGATGCCTTCGTGGAGGACTTCTAACGGAAAGGGTTCGTATATACGTGACACAGGGGAAAACCACGAAAACCCATGCAGCCAACCGTTCGGGGATTCGAACCTCGTACCGAGGTGTTCAGCGACTTTACGCCGATCTCTGTTTCATCAAAAAAAAACGTCTTTAGGTGGCATCCGCATGCATCACTGGATAAACTCCTGAATCTTCAAATAATTCGACTGAGAATCATGATATTCTCCGTTTATACGATAGGTTCTATAATAAACATTCTACAACCATATAGTCTAAAACCAGTCGCTTTCACTTTAATGGCAATGACTCTTCTGTCTTTTCTGTTAACCCAAGCTGAATGCTGGTATTTGCTGGTGTACACGTCCAAGTGTTTTTCTTGAACACCGAAATTCTTTGAAGTACCTGAAAAATATATTAAAAGGTCCAACTTTTTTAAACATCTATGTCTGACAGCTAAATTTTCCTTCAAATTTTGCTACTTTCTTCTTCTTCTAAAGTTATTTAGTGCTCTCACAGAAATTAAGATTTCAAGGACTTCCATAAATTTGTCCCATTTTTTTAAAGGTGACAGCTGTCCGGGAAATCCAAGGATAAATTTAAATTAAAGGGGCAATGACAAGAAAAAAAACAGTCCAGCAGGTTAGTCTGTACCACTGAGTACCGATTCTATTCGGCTGAAAAAATCGAAAAAAGAGCAGGATTTTATACAATCTATAACGCAAGAGAAAAATTAGCTTAAAAAATGACATGAAAACATCGGTTTAAAATGTGTTTAACGTTTCCGAAACGTGTACAAAGCATGGCAATGTAACGCCAGCATTTTCCGAAAGCAAGCTAAAATGCCACTTATGCAGTTCATGAACGAAACATTTAACATTGACGCGAGCTACAAGCACAGTGGTCCAGCTGTCGACTGCTCTTCAGAGAAAAATGATTCGGTTTTAGAAACTAGCTGTCATTCCACAAACGGTGTGGACTGCTATGCAATGGAATGCAGTAGGGAACAATGGAACTAGTAGAACAACATGAGGGATTCTTTGGCCCAAAATCGATTAAAGCTTTGAATCAGTATCTTCACGTTTTAGGGCCGAATTTAGTTCAAAAATATACAAATTAGCGATCTGTAAGAAAACGATTTCCAGATTGTACGCACTTACTTGTGCGAGTGATTTGGGATCTCACATTTTGTAATCGCTAATTCGTGGTTTTCACGGACGAATTTCTCCCTTACACGGATGGTGCACTAACGCCTTTAAATGGTAATTTTCTTACTTCAAAGTTTCTTAAGGATATACAACATATTAATCCCGTGTAACAAAAGGTTAAGTTAGATTTCGATCCATATTTCATTTAACAACATTGTATACAGTGCCATTTTTCCTGGTGGTGAGGTTTCGAACTTCATTTTTTTCGTGGAAAATAAATTCTAATGACCTCCTTTACACGGTTACTGAGCTTGATAACATTTGATCCAATAGGTTTCTTTTATGACCGTTTCAAAGTAGAACTTTAATCACCCTGTATATTATTAAATTTTAATTGAAGCTATACGTTATATGTATACTATGCATAAGATTTTTGCTTTTATGGGAAAAATAAAGAATCGAAGCAAATATACTTCGGATATGGACCAAAACTGAAAAAATTTCCTCTCCGAAAAAACAAAATATTGAAAAATTCGACCTTGAATTTATTCGATTATCGGAAAATTCAATTTAACTTATCTTATAAGTCCTAGTTCCGACAACAATGCCGTCAAAAATTCCAAATTACTGAAGCTGAAGTAAAAGGTTTAGTATATATTCACTGTATGTTAATAAAGTAATCAGAGTGTAAAAAAATAGATTATAGAATTTACGCT